CCCTACTCCTTTGAGCCACAGGTGCCGCCTGCCCATATATTGTTTTATAGTTTCGTTAGTGTTTTCTAAATTTTTTTTCCAATTTTTCATTTTGAAAAAGTTGTAAATCTACATAAGTGTAACACTTACACTAAGCAATTTTTATCCTCTACCTCCTAGATTCAGTAACTCTTAACATTTTGCATATTTTACTTTCTCTCTGCATTTATCTATCCATTGCTGAACAATTTGAGAGCAAGTTGCAGATAACATCCTTCATACCTATTTTAGCATCTTTCCTAAGAACAAGGACATTCACTTAAATAACCACAATACAATGATCACATCCATGGGATCTGACATTGATGCAGTATCATTATCTAATTAACCATTTATCTCCAAATTTTCCAACTGTCCAAGTAATAATATTTGTGGCATATCTCCTCTCACCCCCCATTCAAGATCATTCACTGCATTTGGAAATCATGTATCTTTAGCCTTCTTTAATCTGAAGATTTTCATGATACTGACATTTGTAAGTACAAATTACAGCAGAACCTTCATAGTCAACCACTTCCCTACACTGACCACCTCAAGTTGACCCAATTTTAATAAACTACACACACACCATATATACATATCAGTACAGTAGGCCTAGTTCTTTATGTTGACCATCTCTGTATGTTGGCCAGTTTGTTGTTTGTTTTTTGAGACTGAGTCTCACTATGTCACCCTTGTAGAGTACCGTGGTGTCACAGCTCACAGCAACCTCCAACTCTTGGGCTTAAGCAATTCTCTTGCCTCAGTCTCCCAAGTAGCTGGGACTACAGGCGCCCACTACAATGCCTGGCTATTTTGTTGTTGTTGTCATTGTTGTTTATCAGGCCCGGGCTGGGTTTGAACCCATCAGCCTCAATGTATGTGGCTGGCGCCCTAACCACTGACCTATGGGAGCCAAGCCATGTTGGCCAGTTTGTTACAGTCCTTTGTGTAGTTAACTTACAGAGGACTTAGTGTTATTTGTTTTACAGAATATCTCCCAATTTGGATTTGATTTTTCCTCATGATTAGATTCAAGTTATGCATTTTTGACAGGAATGTTTCCTTTATAATTAAAGAGGAGAAAACCAAAGAACAGAATAAACTCTATTTTATTAATTCAAAGACAATTTAAGAAGAAACATTCATTTTCAAGTTCCAAATCTAAGCGGTACTACATATACCTACATTTTAGAATTTCATGAGAGATCTTTCAAAAATTTAGCTTAAGGCTGGGCATGGTGGGTCACTCCTGTAATCCTAGTACTTTGGGAGGCTGAGGCAGGTGGATGGCTTGAGCTCAGGAGTTTGAGACCATCCTGAGCAAGAGTAAGACCCCATCTCTAAAAATGGGGCAGGGCATTGTGGTTGGCACCTGTATTCCCAGCTACTTGGGAGGCTGAGGCAAGAGGATTGCTTGAGCCTAAAGGTTTGAGGTTGCTGTGAGCTATGACACCACGGCACACTTCCAAGTGTGACAAGATGAGACTCATTATCTCAAAATAAAAAAAAAATACCAGTAGCTAAATATTAAAGAATTAATACATTCTAAAAGGTAGGCAAGTGCTTTCATTTATAGTGGTAGAATCTGCTCCTGATGTCAGATGGTAGAACATCTTTAGTAGAACATTATTCTCCAATAAGCACTGCAGGGAGCCTGTCCCTATCATTCTGGTGAACTCTGCCTAGAAAATTTCTGTCCATATTTCAGAGAGCAACCCTGACCTAGGCATCCCTCCTTTGGGAACCTTTCCAAGGCCTCCTTCTGTGCTGCATGCTCATCTCCCTTAACAGATTGGGCACCCTTAATAACAAGTACTGTATCTTTATTGGACATCTTTATTTTTTGCAGAGCATGTTGCAGAGTTCTTGGCCTTTAGTAGTTACTTCTTTTTAACCCATTAATAATGAATTAAAAGGTTTTTCTAGCAAGAGTGATAAAAAAGACTGAGAGAAGTTCTATTATTTTCTGAAAAGTAATGAAACCTAAAACAGGGCAAATTCCATTTAGAAAAAACTTTCAAGGTTTCTATAGAACCTGCAAACTTTTCTGCAAAGAAAATGTAAATGCTGAAAGGTGGAAGGCAATTTTACTTTATATTTTTTTGCATCTCAATGATATTTCACTCATATAAATGCTGCCATGAAGTTAGTTGAAATTTCTGCTGTATTCACTTGTTACCTGTATTTTTTTTTCAGTAATCAAGTTGAAGAAGGATTTCCACTACTTAAAAAAAGACATTTGCAAAATACCTCGATATTCGTTCAGCTATCCCAATGGGATATTCACTTAGTAAATCTGCTACTCAGGTTTCTAACATGCCTACGGATTCAAAAGGAAACAATCATGTGATTCAAAGGTCTGAGAAAAGCGAGTTGGAACCAGTTACTCAATTATTTCAAAACACCAAGAAAGTAAGATTAGAAGACATAAACCAAGAAAACTTTATAAGAATTAAAGGGACTGGCACAGACTCTCTTTCAGAGAAAGCTGTGGGCTCGATGGTATATGTTATGGAAAGTGATGGAATACAAGTGACAGATGTGGAATAAAGTAATTTGTACCTATTACCAAAGAAACCAAAAATTAGTTTTGATTAAGAGGAAGTGTTGAATAAGAATTTAACTTATTAGAAAAACCTAACAAAATGAAGGAAGACTATTGTTTTACTTTACATATTTTCTTTCCTTTTTT